GCTTAATTTTTGTGTTCCCTAAGGATCCTGAACTATGATATGTTTCTTTCGTGTGTTTCCCTACGGATTGTATAATATGATTTGTATTGTTCGTGTGATTTCCTGCTCATGATTCTGAACTACGATTTCGTTTGTTCGTGTGTACCCTATCTCAAATGCTGAACTTTTATTTCGTTCGTTCTTGTGCTTCCTCAGCATTGTAATCTTTGATTTATTTCGTTCGTGTTTTCCTTCAGAATTCTTAGTTATGATTTATTTCTATTGTGTGTTTCCTCAGGATTCTGAAAAATCATTTGTTTCGTTCTTGCATTCAGTAAAGATTCCATAAATTATTTGTTTCGTTCTCATTCTTGTATTCCCTATTGGATATTAATTATGATTCGTTTCGTACTGTATCTTTGCAGGATTCTGAGAAAAAGAAATTGTTTCAATTATGTGTTCATTTAGGATACTGGAAAATGATTTTGTGTCGTTCTTGTACTCCCTATTGGATAGTAATTATAATTTGTTTCGTTCCTGTTTTTTTGCAGGATTCTAAAAAAAATGTAATAATCAAGTGTTCAATTAAGATTCTGAAAAATGATTTATTTCGTTATTGTAAACTCCATTGGATAGTAATTATGATTTGTTTCGTTCCTATATTTTCACAGGATTCTAAAAAAAAATGATTGTTTAAATCATGTGTTTGTTTAGGATTCTGAAAAATCATTTGTTTCGTTCTTGTGTTCCCTATTTGATAGAAATTATGATTTGTTTCGTTTCTGTATTTCCGCAAAATTCTATAAAAAAAAAATTCAATCATGTGTTCATTTAGGATTCTGAAAAAAAATATTTATTTCGTTCTTGTATTTCCTATTGGATAGTAATTATGCTTTGTTTTGTTCTTGCATTTTTCCAGGATTCTGAAAAAAAGGAATTGTTTCTATCAAGTGTTTATTTATGATTCTAAAAAAGTGATTTGTTTTGTTCCTGAATTTTCGCAGGATTCTGAAAAAAAGAATTGTTTCAACTATGTGTTCATTTAGATTTCTGAAAAAAAATATTTATTTCGTTCTTGTATATCCTATTGGATAGTAATCATGATTTTTTTATCCTGGATTTTTGCAGGATTTTGAAAAAAAGAATTGTTTCAATCATGTAATCATTTAGGATTCTGAAAAATGAGTTGTTTAGTTTTTCAATTCTTTATTCCCTATTGGATAGTAACTATGGTTTGTTCCGTTCTTGTATTTTTGCAGGATTCTGAAAAATGATTGTATCGTTATTGTATTCTCTTAGGATTGTTAGTTAAGGCGACAGTAGTTTACCGAGGTTTAAATCTCGTAAATCGATTGAAAAGAGATCAATCAAGGCAACCCACAAAAAAAATGAGGGTATCACATGAACTGCAGACGGTGCGATACCCGGTGCATCGACAGGGTAATCGTCTGTTGCTATGCGTGCATCACCCGCCATGCAAATTCAAACTCACATTCGGGAATAGGACACAATCGGCTCAATTACATATTAGACGACGATTCTGGTATTTAAATATCAAAGTCTGCGATAACATGTCGCTATTATGTTAAAACGCCAACACATCATGCCGGTCAGCCGGTCCTCATATATAAAGATAAGAAGATGTGGTATGATTGCCGATGAGACAACTCTCCACAAGAGACCAAATGACATAGAAATTAATAACTATAGGTCATCGTACGGCCTTCAACAATGAGCAAAACCAATACTGCATAGTCTCATATCTCTGTTTTTATTATGTGTTCTCTCGGGATTTTGTACAATGATTTGTTTTTATCATGTGTTCCCTCGGGATTCTGAACAATGTTTGTTTTTATCATGTGTTCCCTCGGGATTCTGAACAATGATTTGTTTTTTTCAAGTGTTTCCTTTGGATTCTGAATTATGATTTGTTCTGTAAGTGTATTCTATCAGGAGTCTGAACCATCATTATTTATTTTGTTCGTGATTTCACTCAGGACTGAAAACTATAATTTGTTTCGTTTTTGTATTTCTCAAAGGTTTGTGAACTATAATTTGTTTCGTTTTTGTATTTCTCAAAGGTTTGTGAACTATAATTTACTTCGTTCTTGTTTTTCCTTAAGATTTTGTTTCTGTCGGGATTCTGAATTAAGATTTGCCTCCTTCGTGTATTTCCTCTGGATTCTGATTAAAGGTTTGTTCTGTTCTTGTATTTCTCTTAGGATTGTGTAGAGTTATATGTTTCGTTCTTTTATTAATTTGAGATTGTGAACTAGACTTGTTTCCCTCAGGACTTGTTTTCATTCCAGTGTTCACTCAGGATTCTGTACTTTGATAGCTGTGTTCTTTCAATATAATGTAATAAGATACGTTTCGTTCGTGTGTTCCCTCCGGATTATGACCTATGATGTGCTTTAATTATGTGTTTCCTCATGATTATGTACTATGACATATTTCGTTCGTGTGTTCCTTCTGGATTGTGTACTATGATATGTTTCTTTTGTGTGTTACCTTATGAATCTGAATTATTTACACAATGTTGCTTACATAGTAGAAAAATAATCATTAGAGCTATATAATGTTTTAATGGATTTTTTTAGCTTTTTTATATGTTGTTTTGTATAAACTTTAGAAAATAACTGCTTAAATCTTCTTGCAATCATGACCTTCTCCCAACACGGAATATTGGATTTAATTGTCCCAATTATGATTGTAATCTTTAAACCGGATTATTTCCGATGGTACCGAAAATCAATTATCATAGTATACATAATTTGATATGAAACTACAAGTTAAAAAACAAATCTGATACAAATAATTTAATAACTCAAGAAAATAAGTATGAAAACTACCTTCGCCCTGTTTGGTGTTAAAGGCTTCATGGTGACTTGAAAAAGAAAAAACAGCAATAAAAATAAAAGCGTTGTTCCTTGCTTTTTTTCTTCAACTGACAGTCGGAAATATTGTGATAATGGGTTGTTAGTTTTAACTGAGTAGCTGAGTAGGTTTTCAGTCAACATATTCATAGAAGGGAATGTGGACTGATTTCTGGGACTACAGTGAAACAATGTCGTTTAAATTTGAACGCCTCTCATCAAACCTTTCAATCTTAAGCTACGAAAAATCCAAGAATGAAATAAATAATCAAACAGTGTTTAGTCTTAAGAATAAAATATCCGTTTCCATTTTCAGATATGGATAGTTACTTATGTTACTTACTTTTAATTGAGGAAACTTTTATAGGATACAAAGGCAGATATCGACTAAGAGATACACATATTTATATACGAACAGTAACAATTGTCCTTTCCTTGATTCTGATATTTCACACGGGGAACTCCATACTAAAACTTACGACAAAAGAGACGGTTGCTTAAAAACTTTGTTTTATTATGATTTACTAATATTCCATTTATTAAGACACATCTAAAACATATTTCCATCCAGATATCAACACTTGTGGTCATTTATCCTGTCGATACTTTTATCTTGACATTGCACAAGGTCATACTTTTTTCAGACTGATGGAATCGATAAGTGTTGCTGTTTATAAATAAATCATTTGGAGGTGTACTGGTTTATATTGTTGACAGGCAATAACATGGTGTATGTGATAGTTGAAATTTGGCTTTGAAGTGACCTTCAGTAACTGCAAGTACTCTAAGATCGAAAATCTGTACCGTTCATCTTTTTGTTAGTTTGTCTTTGTGCATTGTACAGATCCGACGAATCAAGCTCTTAACAACTAATTTGTACAGTTTGTTCTTATGTTGTGCTGCTTTACCAGTGTCCCATGTGAATGGCGGATTGAGCGCTCGCAAACATGTTTATCCTGGCCACGTATTTCATGTGCCTGTCTAAAGCCAGGAAAATTGTTTTTTTTTTGTAAGAATCTAGCCATTAGTTTCCATGTTTTGTCATTTGCTGATTGTCGAATGCCGTACGGTGTAAGACTTTTAGTTGTTCAAATCCTTAGCCTTTGGTTTCTGATCGATTGTTGTCTAATTGTCAATGTTTTCATTCAAAATGCATTGCTGTTGCGATAATATTATTTTAAACAGAAATTTTAGATCGTAAAAATTAGAATTCTATATTTTACAGTAAAGTCGTCATCTAAGAGTTAAAGAAAACAAATACTTTTTCAAGCAAATAATACATAGGTATGCTAATTTATTGAAACAGGAAGAAAAAGTAGTCTACCAATGTTTAAATATCGTAAATACATTTTGAATATACACGTGAAGTGAAAATACCTGAGGATATCTAATGACTTCCAAAGGGAGCGGGACCGGGTGTGTTGATAGGGTATGTGTCTCCTGCTACGCATGCATCACCTGTTATGCAGATCCAGACTCGTTTAAATGGGACGATAAGGAATAGGACACTACTAATAAATTTACAGAACAGACGACTTTCCTGTTATCTTTAATATACAATTCCGCGAAATCATGCTCCCGTAAGTAGAGACAAAGACATATAGTATCGGTCAACAAATTGTTAATAGTGACCGCGAAACTTGTGTAGTGTTGATTTCAGTAGTTCTACCTCATATCCAATGATGTAGCAAGCGATATGATCACACTCAGATTAATGAATTCCTTATAATGTGAACATGCACTCACGTAACGTATACATTGACATATGTTAATAGTGAGAATAGTGTTCTATTATATTACACCCCATTTCTATTGTTATACTTCATAGTTTCTATTTCTGAAACAAGTGTAAATTGAATAGATCTATTGTTACGAATAACAATGGATTTTGACGACAGGGTGTGACGAGCGGAGTTTCTGGAAACCCCTGCTTCTTCATCCTGAAAACACAGTCCATTGTTATTCATTACAATAGAAATTGATTTTTTTTTAAATAGCATGAACATAAGAAATTACTAATACTAGTAGTGTTCACTACAAGTTGTTTCAAGATATTAAAAAACACATTGTGCGAACAAAATATTAAGCAACTATTTTGAATAAAAAAAATCCTTTAAGGGAAAAATAATTTGATTGAAAGCGTTGAAAAACTAAATAAAATTGTTCGCAATTTGCGAGAGTATTTTTTTCAAAAAACCATAACCCCCCATTGAAGTTAAAATGGTTGCTCCCTAAATACTCTTTTGCTTGAAGGTAAAATTTTTGATTCCAATCATATGTCTCTATTCTAAAGCATTGATCTTTTGAAAAAATCGGTGGTTCTAACTCCCGGACCCCCCTCCCTGGATTGCCCCAAAAAAGGGAGTTCCTAAATATTCAATCTGTATTTTTGTATGTTGAGCGTGTCCGGTCGTCGGGTTTCTAATCCAGACACACCCATCCCTCATGAATGTCTGTTTATTTTCGAGAAGAAAGGAGGGGGGCTGCTTTTTTTTTTTATAAAGCCGTAACATAAAAAATACAGTTATGTATTAAGTTTGATATTAAAAAGAGATCTTCAGTTGTATCATGTTGTAATTCTCCTTTATATGAATACAAAATTATATCGGCAAGTGGCAAATATTTGATGTTATGAGTTAAAAACATACACATACATGCACACAACAATTTACAAATACTATAAGGTCGGCCTAAGTAGCTTAAGTGTTTCATTGTTTCACAAAGAAATACAGAAATAACAGATAAACCTTTTTGTTTACACCACTTTACTTCTCACAAATTGCATTTTTGGTCGATATGATAAAGGCCAAAATGAAAAAGGTTCTGTTTATGTTGGAGGATTGGGAGGTGGAGGTGGTGGTGGTGGTGGAGTAGGTCCTACGGGTACAGCTGAAGTATTACTGGAAGCCTCTTTCGCAAAATTCATTTGAGGTGGAATAAAACCTCCAAGAGTTTGATTACCATATGGATCTCGGTAGTTGTCTGCAATGGAAAAGTATTGTATCTGTATTTGGTTAGACAATCATTATTGTACAGAATATATGTGTATCCAGTCAACACAACTGAGCTCAATCTGCATGAAATTAATTGGTTTCCTTATATTTTTACCACATAAATTGTTTCTTTATAAGTTGGACTCGTTAGAGAAGATGTCACTTCGTTTATCCAATAGATATAAGAAAATGTGGTATGAGTGCCAATGAGACAACTCTCCATCCAAGTCACAATTTGTAAAAGTAAATCATTACAGGTCAAAGGTACGGCCTTCAACACGGAGCCTTGGCTCACATCGAACAGCAAGCTATAAAGGGCCCTTAAATGACTAGTGTAAAACCATTCAAATAGGAAAACCAACAGTGTAATCTATATAAAAAAACGAGAAACGAGAAACACTTATGAACCACATCTACAAACGACAACCACTGAACATCAGGTTCCTGACTTAATACAGGTGCAAACAAATGCAGCGGGTTTAAACGTTTAAATAAGAGCCAACCCTCACCTTACCTGAAACAATAGTGTAAAATCACAACATAGAAAGACACACTATAAAATATCAATTTAAATGGCTTAACTCAATCAAAAGACATATTAACAAAAACAAGTGAACATACACTAAACGAATACATTTGATCTATGACACAATGTAAATACAAAATTAATAAAACAAGGGGTTTGATGTTTAATAATATCAGAAAGACAACCATAACCTTGGACAAAATGCCGCCATATAAAATAACGTACACAGGTAATAAAAATAATTTTGTAGTAAGGTATACATGGAGTACGGAAATAGTTTACAAAATGAATAATTTTGTTGTTCCTTGTACGAGAACAAAAGTGAAAATTTATCGTCATACTAAACATCAAAGGTGGTATATATGAAAATTAGTGAAACTAGATATAAAACTGAATAAGTAAACATTAAATAACAAAAACACATTACAAATTGTATCAACAGGTCAAATTAACACGAAAGTACGATTTGAGAGTACTCGCAGTTACTGAAAGCTAGTTAAAAGTCAAAAACAATTAATCATAAAAAATCATGCATCAGAGACTAAAATCAACTAAAACACATCCAAGGTATTTAGTGTTTCAATGTCATGGACAGTCAAAGAAGACATGACTTGTGCAATGCCAAAATAAAAGTATCGACAGGCAGTAGGATAGTTCGGAGTTAACCTGTTAATAAACATGTATCATGTATCTCTCTATATAGAAAACGAACGTGGATGTGAATTTATCAAAAAAACCCGTTTGAAAAGAATACAAATTTAGTTATGTTTTTATCTGCTGATGACAAAATGTTCATTTAGAACTTAATGGATAATTATTTATTTTTTACATAAGTTCCCTTTATTATTCATCCACTCAATTTGCTTTCACCTAAATTCTTCCCTCTGCATGACAATACAAATAAAATGAAATGCGAAGTAAACGTCAATGTGGGACTTAGAAGAACACGTGTAAAAAAAGAAATAGATCGTGTTTTCCTGCACTGTTGCACTATACATCCTTGACTTTCAAATGATTGGATCTGAGCGTTCTTGGTGATGATAAATTCAGAAATCATCTCTTACGTACAGCCACGGAGTGTAGGCCGGACTGAGTTCATATCAGCAGGTTGAATACTTTGAGCAAGCTCCTCACGTATTTGGGTATGTATACACCCTTGGCTTCCAATTTTGGTTTGAGCGTTCTTGGTGATGGTAAATCCAGAAAGGAAATTTGGTGTTTTCTTGGTAATTTGGGTTTTATTTATTCTCACCTTTTTATACTCCAACAATTCTAGAGCTTGATATGTTGCATTAACACATTTCTACAGCATAAGACTGTATGTTGCCATGCATATTTCTTTCGGTTTTGTGTAGTTGGATTGCTGTCTCATTGACTTGCACCAAATTTTCTATGTATTTTTCTCCGTATCAATGATAACCACTAAAAATTTAATAATGTTTAACAGTTCCAGTTGTTGTTAATGTGAAACATATGTTTGAATGTTTATTGAATAAATAACAAACTAAACAAAGATATCAGGCTTATAATTTTGTACGCCAAACGCGCATTTCGTCTGCAGCAGACTCATAAGTGACATTCGAATAAAAAAAAATAAAAGGCAAAACAAAATTGAAATTAAAGAGCACTGAGTGTCAAAAACTTCGAAAGGTTTTGCCAAATACATCTAATAGGTAATCTATTTCTTGGGTGGAAAATTCTTAGTACTTGTGATTTTGCGATGAAGAACAGCAATAACTGCGCTGTTCCTTTGCTTTCGATTTATCCATTTTTGTCTAGAGTTTTTTGTTTCATGAAGTGATACACAATAACATTTGTTTTGATTATACATCAATGATACAGCAACCCAACAGCGAAAATAACCGAAAAATATCTACAGGTCAAAATGCAGTGCCAAAAAATAGACATATACCTATTTAATATACAAAGCTCCAAATCAGCCAATTTATCACTTCCGTTTGAATGTTTATACATCTATAATACGTGCGTTGTACTTACTGATACGCCAATTTCCAAAGTCGTAGTCATTGTAATCAATTTCGTAGTCAATAGAACTATCTGAAATATAACCAAGATACATGTAAATTGTCTTTGTTCGCGTGTTACGTCATCAGTAATGATGAAATCAATTAAAAACTGAAGAACATTGACAATTATAAACATTCCAACATATGTGAAAAATTTTAAAATAAAAACATGAAGTATCAATTTGACCCATAAACTGTTTGCTTTAATAATCTGTGTAACGTTAATTGAAGGTTAAATTTCCAATGACTTTTTTTTAACTCGCACCATCCGCGTTACTAAAAGTTATACAGAATAATAAAAAAAAGAAAAAGGAGCTGTAAATAAGCATTATATGATTACAAATCTGAGAAAGTTTCAATGAATTATACTAATTAAGAAAAAGGGTGAACTACAGATAAAATATATGGACAATATCAATGATTTGACGAAGAAACCCCAAAAATTATGCCGGATCAAAATAAAAAAATAGTTTCATTAATTTGGATTAGAAATAATATAGGTAAAAAGTGGATACAAATGTGTAATGCAGTGTGCGGATATGAAAAGTTTATGTAATGCCAAAGTAAACCCCTAAAATACAAACGTGGGACGGAAGGACAAATGCATAAACGATAGAAACAAACAAAAGAACGAAAGGACAAGCGGAAGGGCGGCAGGATTTTCCGATCACTATCTACTGCTTGCCATAATAAGACTTAAAGAAAGGTAAAACAACGATAGTTGAAATTGAGACTTCCTTTTGGTCTTTTAGATTGCACATTAGAGGAAAAAACCAAACCACAATTACAATAATGGTGCAACTAGTGGGTACTGCGATCACCTCCAGTTTTGATTAGGTTCGTGTTGCTCAGTCTTTAGTTTTGTATGTAGTGTTATGTGAACTGTGAACGCTATCTCCTTTTCGTCGTTTTTTATTTTTTGCCATGGCGTTGTCAGTTCTCTTGACTTGCGAGTTTTGAAAAAAGTGAAATAACAAAAATACCGAACTCCAAGGAAAATTCAAAACGGAAAGTCCCTTATCAAATGGCAAAATTAAAAGCTCAAACACATCAAACGAACGGAAAACAACTGTCATATTCCTGACTTGGTACAGGCATTTCCTTATGTAGAAAATGGTGGAATTAACCTGGTTTTATAGCTAGATAAACCTCTCACTTGTATGACAGTCGCATAGAATTCCATTATATTGACAACTATGAGTGAGCAAAATGTCTCCTCGGTGTCTCCCCCTTCTTTTTTACAATAAACATTTTCAGTGAACATCGACATAAGACTATGAGTTATATAAACGACGTAACGTATGGATATATCTTTGACGCAGAAAAATACACAGGTGCCAATGAGTCAATTAACCACCAGAGACAAAATGACATCGTTGTAAGCGACTATTGGTCATCGTTCGGTCTTCAGAATGAACAAAATCTTTACCGTTTAGTAAGCTACAAAACGGCATTTGTCTTTTATTAGTCTTTTTTCTTTAGAAATATCGGGCTGTTAAATTAAGGAATATATATTCCCTCATGCAATGCTATGTTTTTTTGACAATGAAGAGCTAATGGAAAGAGCAAATTTATCTGACACAAGTGTGCCGAATCTTATCTGACATAAGTGTGCATAATATTTAAGTTTTGTTAACCTTTTAATTACATTGAATCTTTTGCTAAGCTAAAACCTTTTGATATAAATTGTTATTTTTAAAAATTGGAAAAACGCCTATATATCGCATTCAACTTATCATGCTTTGCATGGGCAGCAGGCCATTTTGTACGGTATGGAACCAGTATACATTTAGCAAAGAGACACAACTTGTTACCAATAACTCCGACTGTCAAACGTGGAAATGACGGCAGATTCAATCCAATCAAAAATGGCGTTACATATTATATTGCCTTCCAACTAAGCTCACCTTTTAAACTGAATCGGGAGAAGAAAAAATATAAAATTACTTTAAATAAAAATTAACTGAATTTTGGAGAAAACAAATGTGAATTCATTGATGGAAAAGAGTCGCCAATGTCTAAAAACTAGCAGGGTATGATTAAGGTCAGCATGCATATTTGTATATCTTTCTGATTATCAAAATAAAAGAACTCCAGTAAACTGTTTATGTTGGTTTTTGGCTTGGTTTAAAAGTTGTAAAGTATATCTCAAACTGGTATTCTTTTGTGTTCCATTTGGTCATATAGCTCTTCATGTATTTAAGTACTTATACATCCGGGGCTTTCAAAGTTTGGGTTCTGAGCGTTCCTGATGACGGTACATCCAAATAAGTGCTTTGGGTGCATCCATTCATGAAGTGTTACTTCCATTTTATAATTACAGGTTCAAGACATTATTATTTCTAAAATTGACTTAGTACATTGCTAACTTGAGAATTTTTGTTACTTGACGTCCGATTTTCTGTACGAAAAAAAAAGAAAAGAAGACCTTATATATCAATTAAATCTTAACATGCTTAATTCATAACGAATATTTGTGACCGTATTTTTAAATTCACGATTGCATCTCAATTTTCTATTCGAATACAATGCTAACTATAACGTGTGCAAACTTAACATTTGAAATATCTCTGGAGATGTCGACTTCGGTTGCAAAACATTGCTCCGAATAATCCGACTGTCAACCGTAGAATTGACGACAGACGTCATCCAATCAAAAATGGCGTTACATATGCATGTTACATAAGAAAAATAGTAGCTACTAAGCACATCCTTCTAAGTTGAAGGATGAATCGGGTATAGACAAATATGGGGAAAAGAGGGACTTTTGATTTAAGTGAACATGAACTTTAGAGAACGATTTAAAATTGGTGTATCTTTCTAGGTCTGTATAGCAAAAAAATTACCAAATGGGTTTTCGTCTTTTTTTTTCGTGAAAGGTCCCCGCTTCCCAATGGTACACAACGTCTTTTGGGGCGTCATTTATTTGACGTTCTGATCTTGTTTTTTTTTGTTTTTTTTTTTTTGCTGTGTTCTGTATGAAAGAATAATATATGATATGATCGCTTATGAGTCTACTATTCACTCACAACCAAATGAGATGAACGTGAAAAAAATGTTCACATTACAGACTTTAACATTGAGAAAAAGCTCTACCTTAAAGAAAGATTTAAAGAGTCCCGATTGCTTAATTTTCGAACTATAATGATGGAATACATATATGCTTTGATTCATGTTAAGTTATCATAGTTCAGTATCAACCTATACTAAAATCTAGATTTTTTTTTATTTTTAGCGATCCGATTGTCAATACTATGTACTTGGTTTTTTTTTTTTTTTTTTTTTTTTCGATTTGTTTCCCCTTACACTGGATGGAACTTGTACGCCCAAAGAGCTGTTCCTATGTCTGTATAGCAGGAATATTACCTGGTGGGTTTTCGTCATCTCTTTCGTGAAATGTCTCAGCTTCCCATTGGCAGACAACGTCTTCTTGGGCGTCATGATTTTGTAATTTGGATCTTGTTTCCTTTTTACTGAGTTCTGTAGAATAAAAATAGGTATGTTATAATTCCTAATGAGTCCACCAAACACCAATATACATGGATGTAAACAAATATACACCAGGTAGCCTTTAACTATTAGAAAAAAATAGCAATACCTTAAAGAAGGCTTAAAATTATTTGTTAATTTTGATTGTAATTGAATTAGCTTTCAGTTACTACGCGTAATCTTAAATTGATATTTTTTGTCTTTTGCCTTTATACTAGTTATTGTTTTCTTCGTTTCAATCTGATGAGTCAATCTATTTTCAAATGGTATTAAGTTTGTTTAAAAATTGTTTTAAACCTGTGCTTTTTACCATGCCACTATCCCAAGGTTATTGTTTGTAATAAATTAGGCCGTTTGTTTATTCGTTTGAATTGCGTCCCATTTGTTATGTCTGTGTCTTTTATAGCGAACCATACGGTATGGGATTTGTTTATTTTTGAAGGCCGTACGGTAATCTACAGCTGCTGAAATCCCGGTATTTGGACTCTTTGGATAGTTGTCTCGTTGTTCATCATACCACATCTCCTAATTTCATATTATAAGGTCCCGATTGACACAATGTCAAGCAAATCAGAGAGAAAAGCAACGGTCTTTTAATGTTTTACTTAATTTAACCATATCCTAACATAACATGTGTAAAACATGCATTAAATGATTTTTAATGAAGTTGGGACGTAAAAATATGTCGAGAATGAGGCTGGTCAGGCATTTTAATGAAAATAAAAGATGTGGGATATACGTAAGTGAGGCATACGCCAAAGACACTTCAATCAAATAACAATTGAGCACAGGCCGTCCGTTGTGTGTGTGTGTGTGTCGTTTTGTGTGTTACTTAATTAATTTCGTAAAACAAAACATTTCAAAAAAGTTTCATTCAGTCCTGTAATGACAAAACTCACGTTCAGGTTTTTGTGTTTCATTTAAGATTACATCCTTCTGCTCTTTTTCGTCCATTGCAGTTTTTGGGTTATACACTATAAAGAGAACTGACGTTGGTAACAATTCTAAAAAGTGTTTTATTTCTTTTACGAATTAATCTACTATCCAACTCTAATTTTTATTTTGTCGAATCATGTGCTCTCTGTTTCTTGAGTCTAAACATATTGAAAAGATATCAAAGTGGAAATAAATAAAAAAATCAAGTGAAATTAAAATAACAACACCATTTACAAAAGGAAAATCGACAAACAGACCAACAACAACCCACAAAACAAAAGGAAAATCGACTAACAGACCAACAGCAGTCCACAAAACAAAAGGAAAAACGACTAACAGACCAACAGCAGTCCACAAAACAAAAGGAAAATAGACGAACAGACCAACAACAGTCCACAAAACGAAAGGAAAATCGACTAACAGACCAACAGCAGTCCACAAAACGAAAGGAAAATCGACGAACAGACCAACAACAGTCCACAAAACGAAAGGAAAATCGACTAACAGACCAACAGCAGTCCACAAAACAAAAGAAAAATCGACTAACAGACCAACAGCAGTCCACAAAACAAAAGGAAAATCGACGAACAGACCAACAGCAGTCCACAAAACGAAAGGAAAATCGACGAACAGACCAACAACAGCCCACAAAACAAAAGGAAAATCGACGAACAGACCAACAGCAGTCCACAAAACAAAAGGAAAATCGACGAACAGATCAACAGCAGTCCACAAAACAAAAGGAAAATCGACTAACAGACCAACAGCAGTCCACAAAACAAAAGGAAAATCGACGAACAGACCAACAGCAGTCCACAAACACTACTCAGAAAACTAGAGATTTTGTTTTATACATAATCCAAGAGTGAAGAACTATCCTGATATCATATGTAGTCTATAAACATTTATTATTATTAATATTCAACATTTCCCATATTTCTGTCATACATTTGATATGTTTTTCTTTGTTAATATTTTCTTTGTTTACCAATGCATCCTTTAAATACTGACAAATAATCGGAAGGTCAACACTATCCAGTATAAGTAAATAAAAATAAAAATTTATAAATTTTATTAAACGTTTTTTTTATTATGTTCAAAATGTGTGTGGACTTGTTCTGTCAGCCGAGAAGCGGACTTAACGATATATCTGCTTAGAGGATTGGATGGTATGCCGTTGCATAAAACTGAATTATTTTTGTCTTCGATCGAACGAAAAAAATTAGTATGAAGACGACATCGAAAAAAATCTCCGAAGTAAACAAACTGCTGCCATTTAGGAAAAGTAATCTGTCGTAACCTTCACTATTCATGATAGAAATATCGAATGGACAATTGAAATGTTGTAATTTCGTATAACATTGCAAGGCCAGCCAATAAAAAAACGCATAGGTTGTGTCACTTATCAATGCGTGATAGAAGAAATATTATTCATGCAGCAGGTTATTGATAAAGGCCACAACCATTAGAGAATTAGTCTTTTTATCGACAGCATGTCTATATGATAGGTTATATTGACTGTAATTTCTGAAAACATGTCGCTAATGCGGTGAAACACAATCACATCGTAAAGGTCAACCAATATACTATTTTCATATTACCGACTTTTGACTCCGAAGGAAATAATTTTTCAACAGATTACCTGCTTTATGGTAGGACATTCTGGTAATCAGTCAAGTAAGAGTAATAAATTGCTTGATTTGGGGAAACCCAAAATACCAATTTGGATCAGTACACAAAGCAGATGCAAAATTGCATTGTATGTTGAAGAGTTTGAAAAATATCATTTTAGTTTAATAAGAAGATTTATAGGAGATTCGAATATAAAAGTATGCTTAAGTTTACGACAAGATTAAGTGCCGGCCATGCCAACGTAAAACCAAACTTTTACACTGATGAACAATGCAAATAAGGTGAAAAAGAACAGTAGCTGTTTTAGGATCTGCTCAAGTTTCACAATATACTGTCAAAAGGTTCAGGGCCAGTCGGACTGAAAATCCAATCACTATTACCGCCTGCTCCAAAAGGCGGGGCGTATAATGATCTACGAAAATCGTTGTCTGTTGGTGTTGGTATTGATAATATATAACTTATAGATAATATCAATAAATATTTCGGATAAGAAATATCCTTCATCAGTATGAACAGCCTGGCGTAGAATGGCGTTTTAAGCTATGCGGATTTTCAGAAATCTTGAACGTAATACAAACTAAAAACCGCAACGCTTGTTTAATTCTAAAATCTCAAAGTTCACTCAAATTCAGTATTAACAATAGACAAGGCTGCGTTTGTATACATCCCAAATGAAACAGTTACTGATCCAAATATATTATCATTGCATTAGAGTTTTTGAGGATATTTTGTAAACAAATTCAAATGCAATGCTTCATATGAAGGGACGTTTTGTGCTTTAATGGTGTCATATTATTACCCTTGGCTGGTGTTTATTGCAAAATGAATATGTTTATGCTAATTTTGTGTTACCATATATGTTACATCTAAACTGAAAATCGTGAAAAATTAAGTTCACTTCCTTGTCAAATTAACAAGAAAACAACCATTTCCACGTGTAATGTTTCCGTGAATATGCGACAATGATACGTCCTTATAAGAGAGAAACACACTCGAGAAAATAAAATTTAAATCATACTTTAAAAAATATATTACATGTATGTAGACCAAAGGGGTAAAGCACATTTTCCATTTTTTCTCAATTTTCTAGGGATATTTTCTATAATCATAACTATTTATTTTTCTTTGTTTCTAGTTGCTTTGCTTATTTTAAAATAATTCTACAGTATTGGCCATTTTATAAGTTCCATCCATCTACTTTTCCCCTTTTGTTAAATGGCTGGCACAGAACAGCCGCTGCTAGTGTAAAATGTTGGGGTTTTTTTCTGAACAAGAACCCGTTTAATAAAACAATTCTGTTAGGTAATCTTTATCATTTACTCAAAAATTTAACACAGGGTCCTTGTCTATGTTAAAATATATATTATACTACAGAAGGACATCACGACATAACTTATGATTCAAATAAATTATAGTCTACAAAAAATAAGGCAATGCCTCTCAAATCAAAGTTCTGAACCCTTTATAAAGGTTAAGTAAAACGTACGAAGGTGAGAAATCAGTAATTTTCCTTATATGACAAATTTTTATGTTTAAGGTTTCAATATTTTAAAAGATGATGATGAAGACATGATTGTAACATAGCCACTTAAAATTTAAATCGACTGTAGCCTTACTAAGATTATGATAGTACATCAAAATTCATCTTTTTAAAATGTTATCGTGATTTAATTGAATAACAAAGATATTAATACTGAACATGAAATACTTTTACTTCTTTCCTTACCTGTGCATGCTGTGTACACATGTAAAACATAGTAGCAAACCAACTGTGAAATGTCCTCATGAAAGTGAAACCTTCTAGGAAAAATGGTCACACATTTTTCCTGTGTAGATGACAATACTAACTTTTTCTAAATGTGATACTTGTTATAAAAAAAAACTAAGACAAGACAGTCATATGGTATGGGTTTTTCTCATTGTTGAAGGTCGTACGGTTGTCTATATCTGCTAACATCCACTTCATTTGAACTCTGGTGGGTAGTTAGTTGTCTCATTTGCAATCATACCACATCTCCTTAATTTTATATATTTGTGACGTAATACTTTATTATTCTAATTAAGAACTTTAAATCAAATGGTGGAATGATCATCTGCCTTGTGAGCTTGTTTATAGTATCCATAGCAACCGTAATTTTACATCAAATTTAGGTCCCGACATACACCACCCTTTGGTGCTGGCATGATTTTAATTATGGTATTACACTTAATTTGTTAATTCAAATTTCATATATTATCTGTACTGTGACCTATAATGGTTTACTTTTATAAATTTTGACTTGGATGGAGAGTTGTCTCATTGGCACTCATACCACATCTTCTTATATCTATATCAAAGCTTTTGGTCTCTATCGTACCGGAATACAGGAGTAATGAATAATTTAAAAGAGCGGGTCCATTCATTATAGACCTGATGAGTTTAATACATACCAATATTTTATCTAAATTATTTTGCTCTCTCTCTCTCTTTTTGTTCGTTTTATTTGTTTTATTTTCTTTGTACTTGTTTTTGCTATAATAGCTAGCTTATTTATATAAATGGTAAACGTCAAAGATTCATCAGCTAAAATTAAATAACAACTAGAGGTCAACATAGTATTAATCATTAAAACATGAATATGAAACCGAAAAAGTCTTTCAACAAGCCGTATTGGAATGAAACCTTAAGCCGACAATGTGATCAAGCATGTATAGCTGAGAAAAAGTGGCTAAAGAGTAAAGGATCGAATTCATTGAAGCGTTCTTAAAAAGAGGCATTTTGCGCAGAAAGGAAAGCGTTCGACCGTCTTAAGGTAGATAGGGTGTCTTCCTCCATCTTGGATTTTGAAATACCAGAAAATAATCAGTCTAGATCTTTAATAAAATGTGCAAATTTTGAGAGTAGTGGATAATTCATATGTAAAAATTTTCATTTTAATATAGAAAATGACATGTTTTATTATATTTATGGTTGTATTTTACAAAAAACAGAATACTTTTGTTTGAATCAATTTTTTCCAACTTTGCCAAATAAGGGGAGGCAACTCAAATGTAAGGGCAGATAATTTAGATAAAGTTATTTTTACAATAGAATGTGTTAGGAATTTACCTATTTTATTATGTAGCAAGAAAACGGGTCCCGTGACCCCATTTTTTCTTTTTCTTATCTGAAAGTATAATATTAGAGCTATCTTCTCATATTTTATCTCGAAATTCTATGGTGTAGTTTTCGTTTAATGGCAGAAAATTGCGTTTTCCATGCATAATCTATACAAAATCTGTCAATTTTGCACAACCTGTAGCGTAAAAATAAGCCCCGTGACCCATTCTTTTTATTATTTTTTCAAAAAAGCATGATATAAACTACATTTTGATAAATTATTATAAAATTCTATGGATTATAATTTAGACACCCCATCTACCTTAATCGTAAATTCAAACGTCGATACCAGCAAGAAGAACGTCAGAAATTGGAAAATAAACTATACTCATCGAATCAACGTGGCTTTTGGCGATCAATAGGTAAAGTGGGAATACATAACGAACGCACAAAATGCATCCCGTGTGCAATTGTTAATGATAACGGCATTGTTCAGACAGATAAAGCAGCTGTTCTTAAATAATGACTTTCAAACTCTGTTTTCATCTGACAATACAGCTCACCTACCTACAAATATTGATAACGTTAAAAGAAAGAGACGTATCTGAATTAAACGCGCCAATTACAAGAGATGAAGTTTTACAGGCCGTGATCAGTGCGAAAAACAGAAAAGCGACAGGGATCGATGACATTCCGGCCGAGGTATTGAAGAAAGAAGTATCTGTAGACTTACTATACGAAATATAAGTGGATGCTTTCACATGGGAAAAGTGCCATCCCAATGGACAATGGGTGTTATAAATTCGATATTGAAGCCGAACGGCGATTATAATCGGAAACCGTTAAATTATCGCGGAATAACATTAATTTCAGTACCATGCAAGATTTATTGCATTATATCAAATCTAAGACTCAGTCAATGGTTAGAAAATAATGACTGTTTATGTGATAAACAGAACGGGTTCCGGAAAGGAAGAAGCTGGGTCCAATGGTATTTTGAAAACGTATCTTTTTGTCAATCTGTATATAAGTACAGTTAAAGGTGGAAATAATGACAATTAAAACTTATTGAATTGAAGACATAAAATATTTGCCAACAAAACTTTCAAAAGTTCACAGATTCATCGATATCTATACTAAGATTATACATTCCAAATTTAAAGTATATCATAAAATTCACATCGCAGATTAGCTTGATAAACAAAGTCTCTATGTTTTAAATGAACGATTTTTAAATAATAATTTTGGCACAAAAACAGCTTTTTAACGAGTGCTTTTGTTTTTATAATCCTAACATAATCATAGAGGTTCACCATGTTATGAGGAAAGGGTTGTTAATATTTGCAGCATAAATTTTAACATGTAATGTTCGTGCAAGTATTCATAATATTCACATTGTTATATATAAGTTTCAAGATTAAACCCTTTGATAAATTTTACCCTGGTATGGGTGGAGATCGTTGATCGTTGTCGCACTATGACATTTAATGAATTCACATTTTCACAATGAACGTATTATTTTTCTGTAAAATAGCAAAATAAATATTTTTTCTTTATAGTTTAAAAAAATATTGGATAGGCTGAGAGAAAATGCGTCATACTTTGTGAAAATCTAAAAGTGTTGTTGAATTTTCGATGCAAAGTTAAATGAAAAATGTCAGAACCATTGTGAATGATATTTATAGGTATGTAAATCGTTTTATTTTTTTATACATTTCTTTAGCTTGTGTACATTCTTCTTTGAACATTAATGCAACATAATCGGAATAGAAAAATGTATAATGCTTGTTTTATAACTTGCCAGTTCGGAGATAATTTTACAGATTATTTCATTTTCGGAATGCAGAACTTTATATGCTTATGCCAGAGACATATAATACAAGTTGCAAATTATTAGCATTGGTTTTGTGTATCTTTTGAATATACTTACATGCTTCAGCTGTGGAAATTATGGGCATAAACAATACATAAAATCGTTAGGCGGAGCGTCTTCTTCACCACAATGGCAGATTTCTTGTCACAATCTCATCATCAACCCATCACCCCAATCGGTTTTCGGTTGCCGAGACATTTAATTGGCATTAACTTAGATTCTACTAGAGTTAAGAATCTCTTGTATCATATGTCTCTGCTTATGCACAGCATTAGATATTAATCTTCAGATATTTGTTACAATTTTATTTGAAAAAATCAGGTTATTTTTCTTCAAATGATCAGCCGACTTTTGTACTTGTTTTGTTTTATTAAGACATTTATATTAAAAAGTATATAAATAAGTAATAAATACCCTATACATCAAATAGATACATAGTCGTGAATTAATTTGGTGCTTTGCTCTGAAGAACTTGCACAAGTTCAATTAAAGAAAAGAACATATTTAAACTTTAAGGCAATGAATTAAGTCGTTTGTTGCTGTTTATCATATTTGCTTTTTGTATAGTGTTTTGAACATAAGTCAGACCGTAATTTTTCTTCTTTGAATTGTTTCACATTTGTCATTTCGGGACCTTTTATAGCTTGCTATGCGGTATGTGTTTTGCTCATTGTTGAAGGCCTACGATAACATATAGTTGCTAACTTGGTCTCTGGTGGGGAGTTGTCTCATTGGCAGTTATACCACATCTTCTTATTTTTGTATATAAAATATAAACCCCTCATCATGAAGGTTAACAGTTTAAAGTTAACAAAAACAAAAACGAAGAAACAAAAACGAAAACAAATCTTGAAACAAATAACCTTCCAAGACCTCGAAGTTTATTCATCTGACTGATGGTTTGTTTGTGCTTTACGTCATTTCGTCGGGATATATTATTATTATTCTGCCTACCATTCCGGAGCACCTGAGATCAACCCCTGGGGGATTCGTGTTGCTCAGTCTATAGTTTTCTATGTTATGTTTGTAGACTGCTGTTTGCATTTTGTCGTTTTTCTTTTTTTTTTCAATGGCGTTGTCAGTTTGTCTTCGACTTATGACTTTGAATATCCCTTTGGTATCTTCCGTCTCTCTTTTATCTGAATAGTTTAATGAAACTAAATAAATCGAAGCATGATACAAGTGACGTAAACTATCATGTATCACTGGATCTTATTATTAACAAACGATCAGTGATTTATAAACTTCATTATAGTCCAGAAACAGTCACAATCTACGACGAGGCTATCGACTTTTACCTGGCACATTATCATATGACAGGTTTTATTAGGGTTTTTTTTTCAGTCATGGCTAAAAGGGGGATGAACTCGGGTTGTTCCTTTTATAAACAAAACAAATCTACGATTAAACAATACCAGACAATTGATACCTAAAAAAGTACAAACTTTGTTGGTTACTTGTGAAGCTGGGACTGCCGATTCTTCTAACAGATTTGAGGTCCCTCCCAGTATTTTGAGAGTTTCGTTTCGATCTTTGGTTGTCTGTGAATTATTTGTGGGCTATCGTTTGTCTTTTTTGTAAACCAATGGATTACCATATCGTTGATATCTTCCCATTATTATTTATTTTATTTAATTTTTTTTTATTTTTTGCATTCATTTAACAACTTTTCTTTTTAACATGTTTAAGATCAAAATGGATCAGATTAAGAATGTGTTCAATCCAACTAATCAAACACATCCCAGAACCAAAGTGACAGAGGAATTTCTACTGAAAGCAGAAAAGTGTTTGCAGAAGACGATGGGATGCGGAGAACGTTTTCAAAATGGACTGGTGTCAATAAATCAACTGTTACTTGACATGAAGGAAGAACCGGATATGGACAGAACTAATAACAATAATGGTAAATCTCAACGTTTGAATTATATAATTATATAATGAGGTGAAGTAGCTTACATGCCATACGTTATTAGTTTCCCTTGACTTATGAGTTTTGAATGTCCCCTTGGTATCTTCCGCCTCTTCTTCACATGTACGCCTATATTAAACATACCAGGCGTGTAATTATATAGGCGGGCGTTTCATATACAAAAGACTCATCCGTGACGCTCGAAAAAATAGTTAAAAGGCTTAATTAAGTACGAATTGGGAGATCATGAGGATCCAGGATCACTAAGTTATTACTGGTCTAGTTTACAGGCTTTAAAAGAATATTTGTTCATTAAATAATTACTGATCATATCTGGTTTTTCATTGTTTCATATTCTTTTATATATGTAGCAAAACAGTGGGAAAAGGAGGGTATTACCAAAAGTTATTTGATTTATTTTGACATTTTGTATTAGTTATTTATCTTAATCGTAGGCTCGACAATTTTAAAAATAAACCTTTAAAAACATTTGAACGGTTTTATCTTTCATGAGTTTTACATCAGTATCTGCGACCTATTGTTCTCTGTTATCAAAAATTGTTCACCAAATTTCCATCCAAGCATAAAATAGAGAATGGAAATGGGGAACGTGTCAAAGAGACAACAACCCGACCAAAGAGGCCGAGGCCACCAATGAGTCTTCAACACAGCGAGAAAATCCCGCACCCGAAGGCGGGCTTCAGCTGGCCCTTAAACAATTCAGTGAAAATGGACGTCACACTAAATGTTTGGTTTTGTTTGCCGATTCTGATCATACGTTAAAAAACTACGAACTTTTGCAACAATAATTAAGCCTTTCGTTTTATCAATTGTATCGTGACCTTTTCTTATTAGTGTATAATTTTATGTCTTTTTTTGTGATTGCTTTAGAAAATGTTCAATAGTTCATTTCACAGTAGTCTCACATTACCTTACAGATATCCAAACAAATGATGCAATAGATATCAACCATCTGATAAATAAAACAGAAAATTTACTTTTACGAATTAGAGAGCAAATTGATTGCACTTGTACAAACATGAACCAGTTGAAAAACGAATTGATCATGGACCAAGTCTCTACAGTAAACAACACTGCTGATGAACATTTACCAAAGAAAAAAGACAAGGTGGAAGATAAATGGAAGGATTCTCCTTTAGTGTACATACTTTCTTTTATATTTTTTATATTTGAATATTGATCGCGGGACTAGATTATAGGTAGTTGGGGACAGGAAATTTTCAACCCTTCCCTTTTCCTTGAATATTTAAGAGTTCCCTGTCTTCGGTTCTTTAGACTGTTTTTTAACTGAATGTGTGATCTTGGTTTTAGGATATATGTAATTTTATCTATATCGAAAAATCAAAATAAACTTTTCTAATATTACTGTTAATATCACAAAATAAAACGAAATGAAGTTCATCTTCAATTTTTTTAGCAGTTTTTCTTCTCTTGGTATTTTCAGATATCTCCCCTTTTTCTATTAATAAATTGTGGTCACTTATTCTAAATTTTGTATTATCTATTTAATCAGAAGAAAACCGGTGTTCATGTGACCAGATGTAATCAAAAATATAAGTTATAGATAAAGACATACATACTCGTACAATAGTGTCGAAGCGTAGGTCTGTTGGATTTCATGACACAGATTAAAGATATGTTGATCATCGTTATACCGGTACATGATAATGTTTTCGTTTTACCGATACATGATAATGTTTTCGTTATACCGGTACATGATAATGTTTTCGTTTTACCGATACATGATAATGTTTTCGTTATACCGGTACATGATAATGTTTTCGTTTTACCGGTACATGATAATGTTTTCGCTATACCGGTACTTGATAATGTTTTCGTTATACCGGTACATGATAATGTTTTCATTTTACCGGTACATGATAATGTTTTCGTTTTACCGGTACATGATAATGTTTTCGTTAAACCGGTACATGATAATGTTTTCGTTTTACCGGTACATGATAATGTTTTCGTTATACCGGTACATGATAATGTTTTCGTTTTACCGGTTCATAAGAACGTTTTTTGTGGACATAATTAGTCAAGAAAATGGTTATTTCTGTTGGCTCACTTGTTCCTCTTTTACTTTTGATGACAGAACATGCTGAATACATGGCAACCCACATTCCGACTACGGATAAATTTAAAGGTTGTATGCAAACGGACCCAAAATCATGTCGATTTTTTTTCTGACAAGACAATAATATATCAGCGATGTTTAAATTTATTTTTACAAAATTGAAACAAACTTTTAATCGTTGCTAATGCCCCTTTTATAAAGATTTGTGGTTTTTTAATGTAATAAGTATATGTACGTATGATTTTATAATGTATATTGATGAAAATATTTGACAGCTTTATGAATCCTAGAAAAAATCGGTTTCACCACAAAGTATGCTGTGTTTTACTGACAAAACCAAATAGAGTTAACAAAGATGAACTAAGCGCACACGCATCAGATGCAGACGAGGACCTTGCTAAATGCTTGGAGTCCAATGATGAACAGATAATTTCCTCTCTCGTTACACTGGAATCAAAAGATGACTTCATAATCCACACCCAGGTATTTTAGGATTTTAATGTTGTTTATGTCGAAACGTAGTATATAGTTTTAGTTCAATTTGAGGTCTTAAATAGAACGTTGTTACCTCCAAAAAGTAAAATCACAAAATTACTGAACTCCGAGGAAAATTCAAAAAGGAAAGTCCCTTTTCAAAACAAACATTGAATATCAACAAATACATTACAACCGATTTGGGGGCGGATCATGGCACAATTCAAGAAAACGGAATATATACCATAAACGTTTTTGAACGATTTATGCTAAAATAATATATTTTCCAATCGGAAGGAGGCGTACGCCCTCTACGCCCCGCCCCTGAATCCACAACTTTCGATTCAACATCACACAAATATCAGCTGTTTTAGAAAATTGAAGGATCATCAGAAGACCAATAAATATTGACGATGTAAACCATTATTGAGACATTTCATTACAATGTGGCATACACTGTACTTTCTATCAATTATCACTGGAAACCTTACTGCTACTGTTATCCTGTTAAGTCACGAATATAATTAATCTTGTTTCAAATAATTAAGGCCTCCTTTTAGAAAGACAAAGTAGGGATAAGTGCAAATTGAGAGAAATTACTTTGTATTAACTTGTAAAAATATGTATTTCTCGAACTTATTTGAATTTCAGTTTCCAATTCATCTATATTTACCAGTTGTGAATCATAAACCAGAACTGATTCCTCAGTTGAAATATCTGACAAACGGAAACATTTGGCGTCGTGAAGATGTTGTACAGAATATAAACATTCCAATAGAGCGGGTAAATATCTTTTTTCTGACAGTTTTCATTTTGATTTAAAACAGAAAGTAAAATAACAAAAATACCGAAATTCAATGAAAAATTCAAAACGGAAAGTCCCTTAATAAATAGCAAAATATAAAGCTCAAACACATCAAGCACATCAAACACATCAAACCAATGGAAAACAATTGTCATATAAAACATTGCAATGAAACTAAATTTTCTAGAATGTGTTTGTTGTTTGTTTATGTTGACCACTAGATATATTTTGGGGTTTTTGTGTGTTCTTTGGATTTCTATGTTATTGTCCCATATTTCAACATATTCATGTCTTAGTTGTTATGGTATTAGTGATCTCAGATACTCTCCGTGCCTATAAATATATCAATATTCTAAAATCATCAATAAAGGTAGTCTCTTGAATAACTATTTGGCAGGAAATTTCATTTCTCGGCGCGGAAATACAAATTCAACAATTACAAACCCTCCAGTGTGTAGCAGTAGCAGTCCCGCCATTTGAAGAGTTCAACATTGGCAAACATGGATCGTCAGTTACACTCCATAATGACAGGAACATAAAGCTTAACTTTCCAGCTGGTGCTTTTACTAATGAAGCTCACATTTCTACAAAGGTAAACAATAAAGTGAAAAGTCTTGACAGAAATAAATTTGTAAGCCGTAATGCTAGATTGTTTATATGATACAAAAAAAGGAGTTGAGATAAAGAAAACATGAAACTACTGTAAATCATTTATTTTCAGCTTGTAGATTTTGTGTTGTTTTATTAACAACCAGGAAATCTCAGACACGATTACTCATCTATAATATTTATAACCATGTTTAACGCAGTCTTTTTGTTCAAAAATATATATCAAATAGCGTCTAGATAAGATACGTTGAAGAATTATTCTTTTTCAGCTAAGAAATATTTGTTTTCAAGAAGTTTTTATGAAATCGTGATATTATCATGATGCTATAACTGTAAGTAAAATGAAAAGAGTAACATTTTTCCATTTATGCGTATTTTAAAGGGTTACTCATTAGCAAACAAACAATGACAGGTAGTTCACAATCCAAGACGTCAAAGCTGTTACGCCAATAAAAGGACCCTCTTATGCGTTTTTGTGGAGAAAAAAAACGTAATGTTTGGTAAATTTTGAACTAGTTTTTGACCCAAAAATATAGAGGACATGCAAAGTACCAAGTAAATTATTTTAAAAAAAGTAAGTTATTTACCATGATGTTTGTCTATATGAACATCTCTCATGTAAAATGTTATAGGTACTTGTATGTACTCAATGCTTTCAGCTCATCAACAAATGTGAAAATACTAATCATTGAAATTTCTTGGAACAATTTAAATTTAAAACTTATATTTTATTTCATTTTCATATTCAGTTCATGTAAATTTTGTATGAATATAAACCTTTCTCTCCATCGTACTGGATTCTAAACATGTTCAAAATGTAATAGTTGGCATAAACACGTGTTGAACATTTGATGAGAAAATCGGTCTTGAAAGAAAATTCAATCGCCGTGTATTTTTTTAAAACTCATATTCAGAAACTTATGGTATGCACATCAGATTAGGTCATTTATGTATATTCTAACTTTTACATATGCTGCAGTTTAAATGATAAGTCGTTTTTATTATAGACCAGAGCCTTAACAAAGACGTGTTTAAGAGATGCATCAGAAAGGTATTTGGACCTAGAACATATCACACAAACAACTTCTATTATCAACATAACCTGTAGTCAGCCACCACAGTCAGCATTCGAAATAAACTTTTACGATTTTAAAATTGATGGTAGGTATATTTTCCATATGTAACAAATATATCGAAAACAATATTAGATGTCGATATCAGAGGTCAGAGACGGACATGCAATAGCTTGAACAAATTAAATTAGACGAAAAGACAAACTCAGTTTATAGCACACCTTTCAAAAACCAAAGAATAGGTAACACGAACGTCATCAAAAACGGGGCGAACTCAGGTGCTCTTGAAGAGTAAGCAGTTCCCAAAGACCAAGTTTGAAAATACCAGACATACAAAAATAAATTTGAACCAACATCGATAAGTTAAGCCTAACCGCGAAACAGAATTGTTTATGTAGGACCCGGAGGTGTGATGGGGACGCTGAAAGTGTGATGGTCACGCTTAAGTGCAATGGTCTACGCCGAAGTGCAATGGTCATTTCGCTGTGCATTGGTCTATATGACGCATGATAGCTAGTCAAAATCTGCAGATGTGCAATGATTATGAGAGAAGTAGATTTTTTTAATAGTTAGTGTATAAATTGCATTCGTTATTGTCTATATACATATATACATGATATATGTTTATGTAGACCATTGCACTTCACTGTTATCAACAACCCACTTCAGCGTAGCTATCAACATGATAGCGTCACAATGCCACAATCGCACTTCGGCGTGATCAAAAACGCACATCAGCGTCAAACCATCGCGGTTTGGTCCTACATATTTATAATTATATACAACCGAAAGATAATAAATTCAGTGATAATAGATTTATTAATATATAAATGTTATAAATTCAGCCTATATTTAATGAGGTTTGTCATTAGTAGAGATGGACTATATGTAATAAATCCGTCATATCTTTCAGATGAGAATATATCTGATAAACAAGAGGTCTTACAAAGATGTAAACGATGGTTAATAAACAACGTTAACATCCGTCTAATTGAATCACGGCTGACTGAAATCTTTCCAGCAACAATCACGGCGAGAATTCAGGTACGTCATAAACGTCATAAAAAATATCTTTGGTGAGTGCATTGCTGCTAAACACATTGTATCAAGCGGAAGTTGCCCGGTTTTATAAAATATTTCATCATAGGACATTTTTAACCAAGAATTTATTTCCATTAGAGGATAATCACTCAAACTTGTCGTTTTGATCCATCTCTAGGCATCTTTGATTCGGTAATTTCTTCAGAGATTCTTGTTAAATAAAACATTAAAAGCTCTTATCCTATAACAAATAAAGCTTCCCTGTTTATGAATCTTTGTCAAAAATTAATATACCATAGATTCATATTCTTATTCTTATTTCAGAAGAAATGTGTCCATGCAAGAATGAATGTTTATGGTCAAGTCCAGACAAAAGCCTACATTTCATTTCTATAATCTAGACTAAAATATGTACTAGTATTTTTTTTTTTAGAAAGAGATTCTCAGTGGCGAGAAAATCCAAATGCTAATTACAGAACTTCATTATTGTTCAGACAATAGCATGGATAAATTTATTAAGATACTCGACGAAACTGGTCAGCAAGAGGTAGTGGACAGACTAAGAAGTGTCCGAGAACAAGTTATTCTTACAAGAAACCAAGACGATATATCTTTAGCTGAGATGGAAATGAGCAGTGATTTTGATCCTGGTAAGAAAGGCGTGTGATTCTTTATGATGATAGGGGGGAACAAAATGATAAACAAAGGAATTGAACAAATTCAAAATATCACCAACAAAAAAAAGGCTATTATGGAAGTAAAAAGGGGTATTACCAAGAAAACAAGGTAATAGAAAACAATAGACACAAACGAATTAGAAAGAAAAACAAAACAAAAAAGACAAAAACATTGATCAAATTTCAATTATATTATTATTCATGGCATATTTCTTTGCTTTTAGATTTTGAGGTAGAAGTAAAGACCGTGCAAATTATGGCTAAATTAGGAGAACAACCATGGAAAGTGGCTCTGAGCAACTCTAGTAACATATACAATGTACATACTGTTAAACTAGAGGGTGCCAATTCATCATACAGGTATAACAAAGACGTCAATCTAGAGGGTGGCAATTCATCATACAGGTATAACAAAGACGTCAAACTAGAGGGTGGCAATTCATCATACAGGTATAACAAAGACGTCAAACTAGAGGGTGGCAATTCATCATACAGGTATAACAATGACATGTCAAACTAGATGGTGGTATTTCATCATACAGGTATAACAATGACATGTCAAACTAGAGGGTGGTAATTCAATATACAGGTATAACAATGACATGTCAAACTAGATGGTGGTATTTCATCATACAGGTATAACAATGACATGTCAAACTAGATGGTGGCAATTCATCATACAGGTATAACAATGACATGTCAAACTAGATGGTGGTATTTCATCATACAGGTATAACAATGACATGTCAAACTAGAGGGTGGTATTTCATCATACAGGTATAACAATGACATGTCAAACTAGAGGGTGGTAATTCAATATACAGGTATAACAATGACATGTCAAACTAGATGGTGGTATTTCATCATACAGGTATAACAATGACATGTCAAACTAGATGGTGGCAATTCATCATACAGGTATAACAATGACATGTCAAACTAGAGGGTGGCAATTCATCATACAGGTATAACAATGACATGTCAAACTAGAGGGTGGTAATTCATCATACAGGTATAACAATGACATGTCAAACTAGATGGTGGTAATTCAATATACAGGTATAACAATGACATGTCAAACTAGATGGTGGTATTTCATCATACAGGTATAACAATGACATGTCAAACTAGATGGTGGCAATTCATCATACAGGTATAACAATGACATGTCAAACTAGATGGTGGTAATTCATCATACAGGTATAACAATGACATGTCAAACTAGAGGGTGGCAATTCATCATACAGGTATAACAATGACATGTCAAACTAGAGGGTGGTAATTCATCATACAGGTATAACAATGACATGTCAAACTAGATGGTGGTAATTCAATATACAGGTATAACAATGACATGTCAAACTAGATGGTGGTATTTCATCATACAGGTATAACAATGACATGTCAAACTAGATGGTGGCAATTCATCATACAGGTATAACAATGACATGTCAAACTAGATGGTGGTAATTCATCATACAGGTATAACAATGACATGTCAAACTAGATGGTGGTAATTCAATATACAGGTATAACAATGACATGTCAAACTAGATGGTGGTATTTCATCATACAGGTATAACAATGACATGTCAAACTAGATGGTGGCAATTCATCATACAGGTATAACAATGACATGTCAAACTAGATGGTGGTATTTCATCATACAGGTATAACAATGACATGTCAAACTAGATGGTGGTAATTCATCATACAGGTATAACAATGACATGTCAAACTAGATGGTGGCAATTCATCATACAGGTATAACAATGACATGTCAAACTAGATGGTGGTAATTCATCATACAGGTATAACAAGACATTTTTCATAAAACCATAAGCAAGCAACACTCAATCAACCAACATATCATAATTATTATACTAGGTTTTGTCACAATAGTGTTATTTTGGTAAGATGGTCTATGGCTGTGAAAACCAAAGGTAGGATAAAACACAACTGCAACCTTTCAAACGCTACAACATAAAAAAAATAGGATGGGTTATTTTAATAAATATTGAGATTTGGTGAGTGGTGCATAGCTTGCTACAGTCGTTTTTCCCAATCGGATGGGAAGAAATGAGTTATATTTTGATGAAATAAGGCAGGATATATAGTAATTTTGCAACTCCCTCTTTTCAATTATTTTGCATTTATCCTAATTTAATCCGCTTTCCGTCACTGATAAATAAATGGGTCGACACAAATTCAAATCTGTAAATTCAGCTTCGTTTTACTGCATTGATTTAACAATGTATGCCTCTGATTTTAATTTGTGAACCATTCTTCATAAACCCTTCAATGTAAAAGCACATATTTCAAATATGACATGGTATTTTCTATTTTTATATATTTTTTTCGTTTCAATTTCCTTTTTTAGTAAATGGTTATTAGTCGAATAGATAGGTGGAACAAAAATGTCAGATTGTTATCATCTTTTTATCGTGTTTAAATAATTTTTGCTGAATTGGGAAGGTAATAAACAGCTATTAAACAGTCTGTAAATATACTAAACAGATCCTGATTGAACACAGTCGAAGTGTCATAACAGTACTGAATTTTCCAGTTAATATGTACATGATGTTTGAGACTGAACATAATATCCCATAAGTATTTTATTCTTCTAATTTTCAGATTTATAATATAAAACTGGCCGTTTAAGTTTAAAATGTATATACCATTGTTTTATTTAAGTGTTGTTGGAATTGTTGTACCAGCCAAAATGACTGAAAGCGATATGTGCAGAGCTGCAACAGTTTTGGAGGACGTTATCTGCTTAACAAATGTAAACCTTGTTGTGAGGCAACATAAAGATAATTCAGATGAAATCATCATTTACTGTACAAAGTCAGACAAATTGCAAGAAACGCTACAAGAACTAGCAAAAGATAGCTTTACTAATGGACCGACCAAAGTTCCAGAATTTGGATTGGCCGATAGTGAAAAAATCGAAATTACATTAGATAGTTTCGGCTTGGAAGGCTATGAAAACCGACCTTTAGTAATGCCATTCTACTCCGGCTTGGGTACAGTGAGATATCGTGGTCGTCTATGTGTCCTACATCCTGAACGACTATCAAGTGGTAGTCATTACAGTGGACAATTGAAATACAAAATCATTTCTGAGAAAATATCAATGAAGAGATCGGGAAAATTAGGAATTTATTTACCAAAGGTATGAATATGATTTTTGAAGAAAGAAATTTCTGTGGTTTTTTGTATTATGATTGTCAAGAACCTTAATACTATTCCTTTATCTACAATATCATAATCACAACATAATTTAGAAAGCGAGTACAGAGAAGAATCTATACCATATGGTAAGTAAGAATGATGATGACGATTGGTGCCTTGTAAACGTTCAGCATTAGTAGCAATTAATCTATATATGTATTTCAATTATTTTATCCTTCTAAAAAAGGGACGAAAGATACCAGAGGGACAGCCAAACTCACAGATCGAAAACAAACTGACAACTCCCTGGCCAAAAATAAAAAGACAAACAGACAAGTAATAGTACAGATGACACAACATAGAAAACTAAAGACTAAGCAACACGAACCCCACCAAAAACTGGGGGTGATCTCAGGTGCTTCGGAAGGGAAAACAGATCCTGCTCCACATGTTGCACCCGTCGTGTTGCTTATGTTATCAAAAATCCGGTAAATAGTCTAATTCGGTAGGTCACATTCGTGAAAAGGGAAGGGTATTGCAGTTACGACATAAGGAACATATCCGATATCATCTGTGAAACGGTTATTCCATAACGGTCAACCAACACCGTGATGGCGTCCGTAAAATTTACGAAGGGATGATTTCAACTTCACCATTTCGAACTCTTGGTTTAATAGCTTCCTTGTGAGCAGCAACCCTCTATCAAAATATCATGATTGGAAATACAAGCCCAGTAATATCGTATCAATTGGGAGATATATACTCCGTATGCAGGCGCTGCTGGAATGTTGCTACATAGAAATGGAAAGTTCACAATTAGGTAGCTGAAATCATCTCTTTTGTCGTAGAGTTTTGTTTTCAACCGACCCTGATTGTCAATTTCTAGATGTAAGTCAAGATATGAGGCAGACTTAACTGTAGTCTAAACGTCACGACTTATTGTAATGCATTAAAGCACTTCATCGTCTTTGTACGTTTTGTCATTGGAGATTATCTCTTTTTTAGCCAACAGATGAACAAATAGGATACTTTAGTTACACCTTTGACTTTGCAGGTAATTTTAACATAATCATCACTTATATTATAAGCTTGAACCATAGAATATTGTCAAAGATAATATCACACTATCATCTGACTGTCTTCTGGATAATAACAAAAAAAAAAGACTTTACCATGCAATCATTTTAACTTGATAAAACAAATTTCATCAAAAGAATAAGACATGCTATGTTCCAATAGAAGGTATCGAACCGAGAGTTCATTTCATGATTCTGTTATTTTTTAGAGAATGTAACACAGAATATTTCGGGTATATTCAATTCAACAATGTCATCCTTCTCTATTCTAATGCTATATAAGCAATAACTTGTGTCAAGAAAAAATCAATACACTAGAAAAGAACAAAGACCAGCATATTATCAAGAAGAAAAGAATGAATCAATACTAGACCAGAAGAAACGGAAAATTACAAGATATACCGCAATTAATTTCTGTGTCAAGTTGAGATCAAGAAAATTAAAAATAGACAAACCATAATACATGCTAAACAGCAAATAGCACTTCTCATTTGATAACTGGTATTAGGGAGAGTCAATAGCACTTCTTATTTGGTAACTGGTATTAGGGGGAGTCAAAATATATCATTATAACTTCTGGCGTATCGACTCAGTCATAAATGTTTTGAATTAATGTTTGTTTAGGTAAAGCGTTAGCGAAATATTTAGCCTGGCAGCTGACACCGGATAATGAAATTTCTACCCGTTGGATCAAATTTGCAAATATTTTGGTGGCAGACCCAAACATCTACAAACATATCATCAATAGCATAAGTAAAGATTTGTGTAAGGCAGGTCAACGGCAGACATGTGAGGCATTTCTCTTGTACTGGGCTGATCATTATGTTAAGCATGATGAAAACAAGGTTTGTTTGTTTGGTTTTTTGTTTTATCATTTCCGTATTAACATACAGTTTTTAATTTTGTTTTATCATTTTCATATTTGCATACTGTATTTCATTTGGTTTCAATTTTTTTTCTCCGTTCCTGATAGCTGAATTGTGCAGGGTCTTTATACGCCATGTGGTCTAGATAGGCAATAGTGGAAGGGTAAACTGATCATTCGTGTTATTGCTATTGCTTTGGTATGTTTTATTTTGTATGTATGTTTTTTTTGTTTTTTTTGTTTTTTGTTTTTAGCTTACCTGGCTTAAAGGGCCAAATAAACTCACCATAGATACCAGCATTAGTATTTTGTGCACCAGACGCACGTAACGTCTACAAAAGATTCATCAGTGATGCTCGAATCAAAAAGGTTAAAAAGTCGAAATAAAGTACAAAGTTGAAAAGCATTGAACATGAAGCTTTTCTCATCACTTGGCGTCTGTCGTCCGTCGTCAGTCGTTTTACAAAATTCTTTTTTGAAACTGCTGGACAATTAGAAACAATCATTCATGGGGTATTTAGTTTAAAATATGTCTTAACTAAAACATGGCCGCAAACGCTAGACATTTGATAAAGGAGCAAAAATGCAAGTAATGGCCAATATTTGGAAAATCGTTCTAGCCAGAGGAAAACTCACAGGCCAAAAATTCAAACATGTTCTACTGTCTATTTTTATCATAATTGTCAGACGAGTTATTAGATTTATATCATGGTGTTAGCTGAACATTTTATCGTGTAAAGTTGACATGTGTTACAGAGGAAATAATCATTTTTCCAAATAATACCATTTTATTGGTTTTTCGGAGCTTTTTGAAAAGCATATTGTAGATAGACAGAAACTTTAATTGGAAAAATTATCATCAAAACATGATCTATAAAATAAGTCAAACAGTCTAAATTTTCAGTCGACTCTCTGTAGGTTGCATTTCTGTAAATATAGACAATGCAATTTCCCATAGGAACTCCCTTTACGGCTAAAAATGTGCCACTTTTATTATGAAGTTTTGTGAAAAATTATATCCTAGAATGGAAAGTTGATATGCACTACTGTTTTATTCAAAGGTCAAAACAAAGGGCTGTGCGGCATATTTTCAACATTTATATGCCCCGAACTTCTAAGAGTTTAAACTTCTAATTAAGTTCTGTACTACCCCTATTTTCACTTTAGGTGACCCTCAAAATTCAAAATTCTCTGCAACCATGTGTAAATATACTGGTAACATTACCAAAGAGGGACGAAAGATACCAGAGGGACAGTCAAACTCACAGATCGAAAACAAACTGACAACGCCATGGCCAAAAATCAAAAGACAAACAGACAAATAATAGTACAGATGACACAACATAGAAAACTAAAGACTAAGCAACACGAACCCCACCAAAACAAGTTATGTCTCAATGAGATGAAACATAGAGATCATATCTGGGAACCAGTACGTAAACAAACAAAATATCTATGAATATTATATATCTCCCCATAAGAGGCGTGGTTTGTGAAACAGCTGTATTTACAAAGTGCAACCTGTAGAAGGTATCAAATGATCATGTTTACAATTGTATTTCCCTATTATCTTCAAAACTATAAAATAGAGAGGAACTTAGAATACCAAAAATGATCAGCAGTCGACTCTTATAGGAGTTATCGGCCTGAAAAGATTTTATAACTTTTTTAATCGGGCATAAAATATAAAAGATAGTAAGAAACTGTAAAAAGCAAATATTATCGAGGGCAATAATGCAGAAATTGTCGGTCCAAATCCTATAGTAGTCCTTTAATGACGATGTTTTACCCATTCTATGAGTTTTGAAGAAAAAACTATAGTAAATAAAGATAATATGGAAGGAGAAAGGGTTCTCAACAAAAAATCGATTTTAGTCATAAATTATATTTTAGACTATAATGTTGGATCCAGGTTAGCGACACAAGCTCTTTCTTCTTTTTACCTTTTTGTTTTGTTCTATGTTGTTCTCGATTATGGTTTTCTTCGCTGTTTTCAACATTAATACTTTTATTAAAAGTATTAAATATTACTAATTTTTTTTTCCATTTTGAATATAACTCTTTTTGTTTTTTGTCGATTTGCATTTTTTTGTCGTAGCTTCTATTGTGATATTCCCGACCTGTACTTACCATGAGCACATGTGGAGCAGGATCTGTTTATTGCTTTCAGTTGGTCTTACGACAAAATAATTGTCAAAGTTAAAATATGAAAAGATATACAACAGTTCTCTTAAGACTGCATATAAAATAAAAGATTTAATAATGTAAGCACACCAAAAATCGATAGTGAACGTATGTGCTTCAAAAAGTGTATTTATATAAACCAATGAGTGAATTATTGATATGATTTTATTTCAATGGTTTTTCCTATAGCTAGAGAGAATGATTGATATTTTTGGACATGAATCGCAAAGAAAATCAGACGCATTACAGTTCCTTAAGCCATTTTGTTTATCAGGTATATTAGATATCGTTTTACCAATAAAGTCATATTGTTTATAAGGTATATTAGATATTGTGTTATACTGAATACTTTCGAAGGACGAACAAAATCCTTTGTGTTTATACTGGATACCTAACCTTCACAAAATTCGATAAAAGATATATAGCCGGGTCGTCAAGATGTTCGACCAATTATTTTCTTTTCTTAAATTATTACCATTTATTCTATAGTAAAAGATGGTCTTTAGATATATTGTAAATAGATATATTAAACGTACGGTGTCAATCAGATGTGAATTCTAATATTTCTAAAAATCTTCTTCTTAATCCATTGTGCATGTTCACAGTATGACAACTTCATTAACAGGAGTGCTCCTTACACAAAACTACATGTATATAAGTATTACGGTCAGAATCACCAATTGCTCATGCGATGTCCTCAGTTTTACATGATTAACCTTTGTATATTCTAAATGGATTATTACATTAGAGTATCGTTTAGCTACCATTGCCTCTAGTATATAGAACAGCTGCATGCATCATACTATTCAAATTTCTTTTAACTCCTCCCACTATTATACAAATAACTGTCTTCGTGAGATATATTTCATGTAAATAATTTGAGCATCTTTCACTGTAGCATTTTAACTTTTTTGTTTAAGATGAAAAATTTACGAGATTCGGATTAAAACAAATTTATGTGGGTACAAAAAGTTTTGGCGGTGAACATAGTTGTGTGAGACATGACTAGTGCATTGACAGGATAAATTTCTTTGTTTAACGAGACCACAAAAACTCATAATGCCTAACGGTAATTAAATAAAAGATAAAAGTACTTTTTTAGAATATTCAACGAAGAGCCTATAAGGTTTATTTTATATGTGTATGCATATAACTCAGCAAGATAAATCTAGTATATTTACTTTGCAAAACCATATATTTCCATATTTATATTTTTTCTCTAACTTCTGTTAAATTACAAACATCTCTTTCCCATTCTGTTAAAAATACAATCGAAAAATTAACTTATTATAGAGATTAGATATGGTATGGATCTGTATTTTTATTTCTTTTATTGTAGGTACTTTATCCAATGACAATCTTAAGAAAATGGCCTATTGTTTAGCTGATGACTGGGAGGTCATGGCAGAGAAACTTAAGGTAGATAAATCCATAATTTGTGAAATAAAAGATACCCAGAAGAATCCAGTTAGACAGTGCTTGAAAATGTTGGATACTTGGAGATTGTCTGATGTTGCTATCATCAAAGGAACAGATGTGGTCAAACATCTATACAAATGTGCAACAGCTGCTGGATGTGGCTCCAAACTTCTCAACTTATCAGTTAAGCATTGAAAAAAGTGTCTGCAGAACCTACTGGATGTCGCTCAACAATTCTCAACTTGACTGTTTAACAATACGAATTGTCTCAGTATTGTTGAATTTTCACATTTTAATATTCTTTATGAGTTATATCTATTTACAACTTGTACTTGTGAATAGAATGGTGTCATGCCGGCTTAATTACATCTAGGCAACAGTAGTTATTTTTCTGAACAATGCATATTTAGTTACCATTTTCAATTCATAAACTGCAAGTGAAAACGGAAATAATTCTGCCAACAAAAGGTCTTTTGATCATTTTTCATTTTTGCCATGGCATTGTAAGTTTTTTTTTGTTTGAATATATCTGGTATCTTTCGCTTCTCTTTTACAAAAAAAAAATAAAACACATTTAGGCCAGACTTTTTTTTTTAATCTGTTTAACGAGAAATTTGTAAAAAATTAGGGTCGAGGGGACGAAATAAAAAAAAAAAAGTAAAAGTGCAAAGTTGGTCCAGTTGACACTAAAAATAAAAATAAAACCATTATAAGTGACCTTATTTTTTTTTTTTTTTTTTTTACATTTATCAAAATACAAGAACAATGAAATGAAAACAGACCAGTATATTAACCCTTCTATTAATATGAACATAACAAATATCTTTTGATTCTGTATGTCCTCTAATTTAGATCCATTAATATGCACCAGGCAAATATATCAACCTCCCTGCATATACACTATATATATATGTATATTACCAGTCATGAACCTCTTAGTGTATGTTACATGTTTATACTATATATACAATTCAAAATTCAATTAAAAAACTACTCTGTTATCATGTTCATGAAATTAATTATTTTTCATTAAAAAGATATATTCATTTAACTGTTAAGCTTGGAAATAATATAATTATTTTATATTAGTGTAATAGATATGGTTGAGCAACATTAACTTATAAATTGAAACAATGCATTAAAAAGGAAATATAAACATTAATCAAAAACATCTAACCAAAAGTACGTTAATGCGTGTGGAATGCGTAATTTTTCCTTTTGGGACCAAGTTTTGTCTGTCAGCAGTGCCATTCATGCGTCCGTAGTCATTATCGCAAGAATCCGGATTTCGGTCATAGCGGGTCCGCTTCCGATGAAATCCCGACTCCGATCCGTAGTTCTTCAAAAAAATACCCAATAATTTAAATGTCGGAGAAAACTTTACAAAAATAAACGATGTTTGATACGTTTTTAATGCAATACATGGATTACAAATTTACTTTAGGTTAATTTCATCATGTTCAAATGAAGTAATAACTTATTAAGCCGAAGGTTAGAATGATTTGATGTACTCTCTCGTATAACAAGTACCGGCGAAAGTGGTTTTAAACAAATTGTTTTTATGAAAAAACATGCCACCATCTTAAAAAATCAATGCTTTAACTTTTTAAGTCATAAATAGTTTATGCCTTTAATTTCTTTACTTTGGAATTGCTGTTTCATCGACTTGGTAAAAATTAAATATTACCGATGACGAAAGCGGGTGCCGTAAACCACAGATTTTATTTTTGTTCAGAGGATTTCGTAACAGTCGGTGGGAAAAATAAAAATAAAAGTAAAAAGCACTTCTTTTATCTTTATTCTGAAATCGGGAAATTGGAGTCGGCGGATCTCGTTAAACGGATAATAAAAAAAGTCTGGCCTTAACGTTTAAATAGTGGTGTGTTCGAATGCGTTGCTTTAAGATAATTTTCCATGTTAGGGTAGGTGTTAAGAGCTCACAAACATGTTGAACCGGGACACATTCTGCTTGTGCCTGTCGCCAACCAATAGTATACAATCCAGTTGATGTCTGGCAAAATTGTTGTGTGTAATATTATTAACAAACCGTTAAGTTTTCTCTTTGAAACACATGACCTTTAAGAGCTTGTTCTATAATTTGTGTTTAGGGAATTGGTGAAGCCCGCATGGTGGCTCTTAGTTTTGTTTATCCTTTGGATTATGCTGGATAGTTGTCTCAATGGCCATTGTACAACATTTGATCAACTCTTTGACGTTTGTATAAGATTTGGATTTTCAAATAATTTGGCACCGAGCTTCACTGAAGAGACATCTGGTGCAGTAAAATTGGTACCGTTATTCGTTATTCTTATAAAATGAAAAAGTACAATTTCTTCATATCTGTGTAACAAAACAGCCCAATTTATATATAATTGTCAATGCACAATTTTACACGGGGAGGAAGGGAACTGGTTCCTATCTTACCTCGGTTATAGTCATTTCGAAATATGACTTGTCTGACTCCGATCCAATTTATTTCAATTAATATGAATTTCAGATATGAGGTTTCTCAGGATATTTTGAAATTGAGATGCATAATATTCTCTTAAAAATGGTAAGCTATTTACTTTCCTTCTGGAGAACGAGGCGCGTATTTGATTTGCCCCATACAACGATAGGCAACTATTCCAGGAGTAAGAAATTGTACCCTGTTTAAAATACCAGTAAGTGACTGAAATAGAAGAGAGGTGAACGATACCAAAGCGACATTTAAGCTCATAAGTCAAAAATAGACTGACAACGCAATGGCTAAAAAAGAAAAAGACAAACAGACAAACAGACAAACAACAGTACACAAAACACAACATAGAAAACTAAAAACTTAGCAACACGAACCTCAACAAAAACTGGGGATGATCTCAGGTGCTCCGGAAGGGTAAGCAGATCCTGCACCACATGTGGCATCCGTCGTGTTGCTCATATTAGTACAAACCCGGTAATAAGCCTGAATCGATAGGTCACACTCGGGAGAAAGGGAGGCGGGTTTGTAGTTACTACAATTGGAACATATCCGCTATCATCTGTGAAAAGGATATTTCATAACGGTCAATCAGCTCATGACGGCGTCAGTAAAATCTAAGAAGGGATGACTTCATCTTCACCACTTGGAACTCTTGGTTAAATAGCTTCCTTGTGAGCAGTAACCCTCTATCAAGAAAATCACGATAGGAAATACAAGCCCTCGAATATCGTATCAACTGGGAGATATATACTATGTATGCAGGCGCTGCTGGAATGTTGTTAGAAAGTTCACAAAAGGGAAGCCGAAATCATCCCTTTTGTCGTAAAGTTTTGTTTTCAACCGACCCTCATTGTCAATTTCTAGATGTAAGTATTAACCTATGTTAAATTCATTGAAAATCGCTAGGCTTATTATCTAGAAGCTATGTTAATTTCATTGAAAACCGCTAGGTTAATTATTGGAGTCAAAATTGTATGCATGAAACCTAATTGCAAATTGCACTATCAAGTGTATCTATATTATATAGAAATAAACTCATTGTTATAAAAAAAAAAGTCAAAAGGGGATATGAATGACGGTGTTTTAGTTACTTGAAAGATACCTTTAAATCGTTCATTTTGAATTTGGATATAGTAACCCAGTATCATAAAGTATCTGTTTACAAACACTTTGTTCATACTGCATTCAAGATGTATAATTAAATATAAAATGACTCCTATTCCAAACCTATCAAGATTTAGATTTCATAATATTTTTATAAATATGCAGATTTATCAGGCCTTAAAATAAATTTAGACAAGACCAAGGTTGTTTGGATTGGGAAGAAAAATTTAGCCAAGAAACTATGTGTTTGAAATGTGGATTGGAGTTGGGTTCCAGCAGATTTACACTTCTTTGGATAAATTTCGCCGTGGATCTTAATGAAATTGAAAATTTAAGCTATGATCCTAAGATGAAAGAAATCGAAAAAACTATAAAAACTTGGACAAACCAAATACTCTCCCCAATTGGAAAAATAACAGTGATATAAGCGTTTTACTTATAATATCAAAATTAAACCATTTATTCCTATCCATACCTAGTCCAAATAATACAAAGCTTAAACATGTAACTGACAAAATATTTTCTTTTATCTGGGATGACAAAACTACATAAAAGGTTTTTAATTCAGCTGGATAAGAAGAATTAATATAAATAATTCAAAACTTGTAAAACTATTCCTCTTTACAGAAAATTTGAATTTTTTTTGGAAATGCAATTTCTTGGCTTTTATAAAAAGCTGAAAAATCCATTTTGGAAAGAAGTATTTGATGCTTGGAATGATATTCAAAATTTACAATATAAATCTCAAATTAGCACATGCAATATATGGAAGAATGATGAAATAAAGATTGGCAATCAATCAGTTTTATATAAAGATTGGACTAAAAAAATGGTTTGGCTGATTAATGACTTGTTAGATGAATGTGGAATTTTAATGACTTTAGATAACTTTAAAAATGTATACAATATCAAAACTAACTTCCTTACATATCAAGGCTTAAATTCTGCAATAAAAAGTATTTAAAAGAATATAATTTATGTCCCAATGATTTAGTGTGAGAAAACGGTCCAGTTTTGCCCTCAGTTATAAAAATATTTTTTAAATCCCCGAGAGGTTCAAAAGATATGTAAAATATTTTAAATAGTAAAAAATCAAAGCTTAAACAGGAATGTGAACAAAAATGGTCCTTAATTCTCAATACAATCTACAATTGGAAAAATATCCATATATTGCCCTTTAATATTACCAAGAATTCAAAACTGCAGTGGTTTCAATACAGAATAATACATGGAACTCTAGGCACGAATGAACTTCTATTCAAAACAAAAGTGAAAGATACAAATAAGTGTAGTTTTGGGTGTGGAGGGGTCGAAATAATAGAACATATATTCTGGACTTGTCCATATATATCGAAATTATGGGAAGACCTTAACACTGGATATTTGAGACGATAGAAATAGAAACAACTTTAATTATAGACTTGGTTATATATTAACGAAAACCAATAAAAATGACATAAGAAACTTAATAATTCTGTTAACAAAATTCTATATTTGTAGAAGCAAATTATCATTTGAACAAACCAATGTAATAGCGCTAAAAAATATTTAAAAGAAAACTTATTAATAGAAAAACATATATTTTATAAAAATAAACGACTCTAGGGCAGAGAACTGCTGGAACCCCTGGACTACTTTATTGTCATAACAACAAAGATAAACAACAGACACCATACAATCAAAAATATGTATTCTCTATCCAAACAGCCTTTGTCGTGCAATCATATTCTGCAATGTATCAAACTATTTTAGATGTGTCTAATCAATATGTTGTATATCTTCTGCCTATATATTATATTATGCATAAAATCTATATAAAAGACTATTATGTTCATGTGCAAATAAAAAGAAAATCATTATAAAAAAAAGATTAAGATTTCAATATCTTTTAACTACTGTAAACTTATATGTATCATATCTGTTTCAGTACAAAATCTAAACTTTCCAGGCTTTGGTCGGTGTTTTCATTGCTTTGCTTTAATTATCGATGTATTTCTTTTTAAATTCAAAATCACAAACTTTTGACAAAGAATTATATTTATCCAAATATAGAATTCTTCATTATAACAACTTATATGTATTATTACGATGATTAAGATGATATATTTGGTAAACGCCAAGCGTGTAAATATGATATGATTATGAATCGTGATCTCATGAAATTTATAACGTGTTGTTTTTCATTTTTTACGGACAAAAGAAAACTCATTAATTTTCTGAAACTACGCAAAGCACTCATTATCAGTTTTATAACATTGTCTGACCAGTTTCCCCTAACTGCTTTGCAATAAATAGGTTAATATATATACTAAAACAATTCAACTAGATCATCTAACTAATGTGGGAACGACTGTAAAATTTATGATACAGTGTTTGTTTGTAAAATGACTGGAAAATCAGCTAAAAAGGGTAAGACCCAAGTAATTGAAATGGCAG